CTTAAACAATGATGGACATGAGAAGGGAAGGGTACAAGTGGGAAGGGAAGGGTAAATGAAGAGAGTAAAAGAGGTGAATATGGTTGAGGTACTTTCTATATGCACATGACTACGGAACATTGAAACCCGTCAAAGTCATTTTAAGAAAAGGTGGGGGAGAAGAGGGAGAAAATTGAAGATGGTGAAACAAACGGGGTTAAATTTATGTATATATAGAAATGTCACAATAAAAACTCTGTGTAACTATCATATACTAATAAAAAACATTTTTAATGGTTAAATCATTCATTCACATTATTCATTTTATATGAAGAATTTAGAGGGAAATATTTCATTTATCTATGTCTCTTTAACATCTAGCAGAAGGCTAAACCTCAGAGGGTTCTCTTTTAACATTGTTGATAAATTTCACTTAGATTTATGCTAAGTGACTTCCATTTTGAATGCTGTACTATGAAAAATGTTTTATTTAAGACAGGAGTATAATTTTCTGATATAACTATGTTATTTTTTCTTAGCTTAGTTATCCAAAAATCATAATTAAATATTCACCATATGTGTATTTTGTTATATGAGGAACAGAGAGGGAGTTAATCATATATAAGTATATGTAAGGGCAAAAGGAAGGTGATAGGGAAGAAAAAACTTGGATTAAAACTTTCACTGTCATGACTTTGCAGTTGACATCTCTTACCCTTAGTAGTCCAGAGTGTCTTTGGGGTAAGTGAGGCTATGAGGAAATGAAGTATAACCAGACTTTCATCCAATCTAGTGAGGTTGATGAGCCTGGGGCCACTGCCACTTAAAAGTCATGTTTTTTAATATTAGTTCCTATCTTATAGTTTGTCTATTTATATTTTTGAGGAGCAGGAGATAATTTTTAAGTTAGTTATGATTTGTGGTTTAGTGCATGCTTTATAGTAACAACTATTATTTTATTGTAGGTATGAATGATAATTGTAGTATAGGAAAAAATGGACACTCAAGGGTTTCCACATCCCAGTCTCTAGAACCTATGAATGTGTTAGGTTACCTTGCAAGGGAAATTAATACCTAGTATCTTAAGACAGTGAGAATACTCCATATATCACCCAGATAGATCCAATGTGTTAGTCAACTGTGTTTTAACTTGGCATGGCAGTGATGCCCAGATATTTGATTAAACATAATTCTCTATTGCTCTTGTGTTTTGGAGGAGAGTTACATTAAAATGGTGATGTGTGGATAAATCAAATTACACCCCTCCATAATGTGTGTTGGCCTCATCAATCACTTGCAGATCTGAATAGAATAAATGGATTGACTTCTTCACAGCAAAAAGGAATTTTCCAGTGAACTAGCCCTCCCTGGCCATAAAACCTTGGAGTCACAAAGCTTCCACAATTATGAGCCAATTCCTTACACACACACACACACACACACACACACACACACACACACACACACAATTGATGGTGTTTCCGTGGATAATCCTGACTTGTATAGCTTATAGTAACAAAAATTGTTCTAGAGGAACAATAATAATTTTTACATTTTCTGAATTGGCCCTGTGGCTTCTGGATATGATCCTGTAATCTGATTAAAGACACTAATGAGTTTATTTCCAGTAGTAAAGAGAGTACTGATAATCCATTATGTGATGTGGCAATAGATACATATACTCTATTACCACTGGATTCTAATGATCAAGCATTTACAGGAGGCAAGGATCTGGGTGAGCATGTATCTCATGCCTTTGAACATTTCTGTCAAACTAACAAGTAAAATGAGATTGACTGATCATTCAAAATGTCCCAGAAGAATGTGGGGAAAAAAAGGGAAAAAGTGGGTTCAGGGAATTGAATTCCCAGCTCAAACACTGGATAACTTATTTGAATGCCACTATCCTTACATTGAAAAAGAAGCCTTTATCTCCTGTAGCTGTAATGCCAAAGTTGCTAAATAACTAAACTTAGAATCTCAAGTGTAATTCCCAAGCTTTCAGGATCTCTTCTCTTAAAGGCATTGATTAGGAAGGGATATGACCCGAAAGTTGAAATGGTAGTATATGAGAAAACTTTGATGAAGTTGAAGATAATGAGCCCCTAAACTCAGATGAATCATCTTTGTCAATAGGAGTGACTGTTCCAATTCCAGTAGAATAACACTTCATATCCCCATCTGGGATTAATCCCAAAAGTTGCTTTGAAAGTCACTGATTCTCCTCAGTGACTACCACCCGCCCTTAGCTACTAGACCTATAACTAGATTCTGTCCCCTACAGGTGAGATATAAAGTGTGCTCTAGAGAAGGTACACTATACTAAAAAAAAAAAAAAAAAGTTATAGACTGAAATCCAGGAAATGTATGTTAAGGTATGGAACAGTGGTAGAAGGAACATAAAATTGGATCAGGCCAAATTTGTTGATATGATCTCATTAAGCAAAGATTAGAATATGATAGTTAAAAAGGACAGGCCAAAAGGTGGCCCAGAGTGCAAGAGGTAGGAATGTCAGATCTGCTATCATTTACTAGAAAGGGATATAAAGACTTAGGGACTTTTGAATGTTAAAGTGGACTTGTCTTTAAAGTCCTACTTACTTACTTACCCTGGAAGTGTCCAGAAAGTACCTTTGTTATGTCTCTATCAAAATGTATAAATTAAAGTCCTAATCCCAATACTTCAGAGTATGACCTTATTTGGATGGTATCTTTACAGAGACAGTCAAGTTAAAATGAGGTCATTAGAGTGAACCCTAGTGCTATATGACTTATATACTTATTTTTAAAAGGAAATTTGGGTAGAGACACACAGGAAAAATGATATGAAGGAACACAGGGAAAAGACAGTCATCTATAAGCTAGAGGAAGGCCTCAAACAGATCCTTGCCTCACAGTTCTCAAAAAGAACCAACCTTATTAACACTTTGATTTCAGACTCCCAGCCTCCCAAACTGGAACAATAAGCTTTTCCTTGAGACACAATTGGGGTACTTGGTTACAGCAACCTTAACAAGCTAATAATAAATTAAGCGGGTAATAAATGTTCTTTTTATTATCTTTTTTTAATCGCTGCTGCATTTTGAAAAGAGTAGAATCATAGAACACTAGTGAATTTCATCAAAAGCTTTTGGTTGTACCAGAAAAGCAGCTATCCACTACTGGCATCATGAAACTTAAACTAAAAGTTCTATTTGTATGTCCAGAAACAAACATATCAGCAAACATAAGTTCTAGCTGGTTTACCCCTTCTTCTTGTTGTCTGCTTATTTTGTCATCTCCTACTTTTCCTTATTTTGGCATTTTCTTTGTCTTTCCTCATCGGTTAATACTTTAGTATCATTTTGACCAGTTGCCTTTTCCCAAATCACAAATATAAAAACAGGTCAGGCCATTGTCAACTTGGTCATTTTGACAAAGTTTATCATTAAAAAAAAATTGATTTATTCAGAAACAACATGTATATAATCACATTCAGGCCTTTTCCAGATTTTTCTTATTCTTCATGATACTTGAGTGTTGAATAAGCAATAAAGATGCATACTGAGAGCCTATATTTCATGAAAGATGTTTTGGATTGTCTTCTGAAAACCCTTCCCTTTCATCATTAGTTGAAGATTTAGAAGGACACAGATCTGTTAGTTAAATGTAATTGCATATTTCTATCAGCTTACACACCTAGACAGCTTTTCAAATCAGCTATCTTCTTAAATCCTTCTCAAATCTATCTCACCAAGATATTTGCTGGCAAATTTTTCACTTCTATCTGCTCTGCTTGTAAAAACAAAAAGGCCATATACCACTGTTATTGAACATCAGTACGTGGAACACCATTAGAAGTCAGAAACTAAGATTCATTACTACACAAACTGGGGTTGCATTTCAGAAAATTTTTTAAGAAAATTATTTCTAAGAATGCTGATCCATCCCCCCAATAATATTGAATAAGAATCTACCAACAGCCACAGTGTTCATGCAACTATAAATACAAGGTTTCCCAAAGTCTCGGTGAATTTCAAAGCTTTAATAGAATTAAAAATGTAAATGCCACAAACTTACAAAAACATCCTTCGACAGCAATCAATGATTTCATACTTGTCTTTTGAGAAACTATCTGTTTCAGTCACTCTGCAGATGGCTAATTTTGACTGAAATTTTAAAAATTAAAGAATATTCAAAACACAATTCTAAAGAAATGCAAAAGGATATAAGTTTTCAAATGAAGTCTCTTGCATTTGTAAGTATACTTCTAGATTTACTAAAGACTTCAAATTTCACTAAGATTTCTGGGAAACCATGTTATTCACTGGAAAAAAAAAGCACACAAAACTTTTTCTCTAATATGATCATATAATTTTTGTTTTCATGGCAGGAAAATGTTTATTTTTCCATCTTTAAATAAAGCACCTCTTAGCACAGATTTTGTAGCTGCCAATTAAAAGATATTAGTTCACTAAGTACCTTGCATAATAAACCAATTTTGTCTCTTCCTACCACATACCAAAGTGCATTTCTATTAAAATTCCTCTAAGGTGCCCATCATCAAACTGTAACCCTGGGACTTCACTGAATTTGTATGTACTTTATGTGTAATCATTGCCAAGGGCCCAGCTTAAAATTTTGGGAAAAAAATAAATATGAGGTTTCTTTCCTAAAACATTGGGAAAAAAACAGAAATGGAAAGCACAATTTTACTCCTCAATTTATGCAATCTTAGGAACAATTTTAATTGTCAAACCTTTAAACTTTATTAAATATTTGTAGTAATGCACTGAATGAATTCCAGACCTACATAAATACACAGGCAGCTGTTTATAATTTGCATTTTTATCAGTTTTGAAAGAGCACAGTGTACTTCCTGCATCTTATTTTCAGAATTTGCATTTTATCATCTTTGGCTATCCAGGATATACTATGGAGTACTTGAATATCTCATTCTTTGAATTTTCATTTTTGATTGTAAATCAGATGATGTCTGGCACTTCTCTTTTCTCATTTTTCTCTTCTCTCAACCTCCAAGTTTACTTGCTCCCATTTCTTCTAGGCTCTAATAATAAAATACACAAAACATTTCATTTTCGTTTATAGCCTTCTTTGGAGCATCAATAATTCATATTTGTTAATTACTTACCATAAAATCTAAAGATAAAACAAAAACTAAGCTTGTTGTTTTATTCATAACTTTCAAAATACCATTCAAACTTCCTCAATTTCTTTTCAATGTTTACTGAGTATTGCATTTAGATGGAGGGCTGGTCAGGAATGGAAATAATACTACATATAAGCAATACTGAGTATTGCATATAATAAAACTGCAATATGAAGGTACTCAGAATGAACAGAAGGAAAAATCCATCATATAGAGACAGGTACCACCATATTTTCACAGCAGCTATATCCATATCTGAAAGGACATGTGGCCTCAAGAGAAGGCTTGCAATGAGAGTATCTCTAGTCACCTCAGCTCCTGCCTGATTCCCCATAGACACTCAACATTTTCCTCTTCTTTTTGCATTATCCTCAGAGTATCCAACAACATTTTCCCAAAAGGCTCTTCTTACCCATTTATATTTCTATGGCCTCGGTTGCCAGAACCTCAGAGGAACAGACTACTGGCAGCTTGTGTTTTCTGCCTCCTTCCTTCTAGCAATCCATCTGTCCACTGGGAAATGTTGAAACTGCTACTGTGTACCTTGACAAGAATATGTGAGGGAAGAAACACAAGCTAACCTTTCTCTGTACTCTGGGGATGACAAGAACTGAGAGGAATGAGTTTGGAGTTAACTATTTTCCAATCAAAAGCAACTAAGAAAACAAATGTTATTTTATAAAATGTTGGATGTTAATTTTATAAAATATTTTATATTTAATTTCATGAATCTAAGCCTCCATTCTTCCTAATGTAGAAAAATGTCTATAGTCCTTTACACAAAAATTCAGTCTAATTCAGTGATTCCTTACTCACTTCACTTTCATATTTCAGTTACATTTACATTTAAGTTTTTTCTTAGCATTTTTCCCTGCTGTTGCCACTAATTTTGGGGGTTGAACAAGGGAGAATGGTTACTTCTCTGTGATAGTTAGGAAGAGAATATAGTTTCAACAAGCATGATGTGCCTGGGTCTTGAATGGTAGACCAGATAGCCTAGTTCAAGTTTTCTCAAATTTTAATGTGCATCTTAATTAATTGAATGGTGTTAAAACACAGATTCTTATACAGCATTTGGAATTATCAAGAAATTGTTTCCAGTCCTCTCCTGTTAGGCCTAACTTGCCCTTGTCCTCTCCCTAACCCAGATGATAGAGAGAAAGTCTTTCCAAAGTTTGGGGTTTTTTTTTAAGTGAAATGTAGCACCATATGGGTGCATAGATCCTGTGCTACACATATGTAGTACATGTTTCACATTCTGAAGTGATCCTTCCTTTCCCTAAACCTTCTATGATTCCTGTTTAACTCTCTGGGATGGGAGAAGAAAAGGATACTGGAATAGTCACAGGGACAATGTTAGAGGAAGGAACACATCCTTTAACACTCCAAATATCATCCCACTCATATGGAAACCATATTAGGAAAAGCTATAAGAAATTTGTATTTTCCTCCAGGATTTTCTTTACCTCCCTCCCCTCAACTTAAGACATGTGAAAAATCAAATGAAGTTAAGAGAAAACATAGTCAATAAGTAACATTGCATCAGAGTTTTCTTGCAGTATAATATGATTTGGAGAGAGATGAGGGGAAAAAAAACAGCTGTCTCTAGTATACAAATGCATATATAGGTCTGGGTATGGAGTCACAGTTGCAGTAAAAACAGCTAATGTGTCGTGAAAGGTCATGTCAGCTATTCAATGAAGGGAAAGTATCTAGCATAGATGTGTTCTGGGAAACTTTGTTATAAAACCTTATGGATTTTAGACTATTTTGAAAATTCTATGATACTTATCTAGAAAAGAGCTTCCTATGTGGAATTTTTTCCAAACCTACTGAGCCATTCCAGAACAGGCTGGGAGAGGGCATCATACTGTTTAGCAAAGTCCTGAGATAAGGACTCTTACACACCTCTAATACAAGGATATTCCCACAGCCCCCATGCTCTCCCAGAACACAAGATAGAATGGCGGAGAGCACAGTACTTAGAACCTCCCAGCCGAGAAAATCCATCTTATGCCTATACCAGCCCACATTTGTCTGTGATAGATAAGACTTTAGTATTTTATTTGTGCCCAAATATGTTTTAATATTTGCCTTGCAGTATATAAGGAATGTGTCTGAACATATTATGTAATTTCTGCAAAAAGGAACACAATAAAATTAAATTGCTAGTAGGAAAGATAACTAATAAATTCCAAGTAATTAAGTGTGAATATCTTGAAAATTTTATTGATTTTAGTATTTTCTAAAACACGTTCCCTGAACCTAAACGCCTGTTAACTCATTTTAAGAATTATGTGACAGTAATATATGTTTACCTGGATGTATCTTCTCAGTTTTTGAATACATTTTTGGAAAAGGAATTCTTTTTCGCCAGGCTGAACCATTGTACGATGTTGACATATGTTTATCTGGGAACAAAAGAAGACTGCTATTAAATATTTCCTAACCTTAAAATTATATTCCAACAACATTTCAAAGTTATAAATGTCTCAGCTGTTCTATAAGTATTTCATTTTACCATTTCAAAGCTAAGGCAACAGGAATACAAGTGAGTGAATTAAGAGCACTTAAGTTATCAGTAGAGATGGTTTCAGATCTCTTAATTGACTGTTCCGTTCCTAAATGAGGCTCTCTCCCAAGAAGCTAAACTAGAGGACTGGAACATCTGAATGCAAGCAAAATCTTTCACTGCTTGTTTCACCACGATTTAACATAAAATTTTACTAATGTTTGAAGAGATTTATCTTAAAACCAGTAACAGCAACATGTGGTGTAGCCCAAGTCCCATTTTCATCCATGAAGTGACTTCTGTAATCACACTGACCATATTGCAATAGTGAACGCACTGCCCCAGGAAAGCAAAGTAATATTATGTACTGATTGGTCTGTAAAGACAGACTGTTCTCTGACATCTCTACATGTCAACTCTTATCTAGCAATGTTATACTTATGTTTTCAAGTATTAATATACAGTTGTGGTTCTCAGAGCAAGGTGCATAATAACACCAAGTGTTTGCTTTATTTCCTGTGTTGACATTTTGCACTGATGATATAAAAAAAAAAAAACACTGTCTAACTACCGGCATCTTCATTGCAACTCCAGATTTTGGCAACAAACGTCCATACTCATTATTCATAGCCATTCACTTACAGTAAAATAGTAATAATAATAATAATAAGTAAACAGTAATAAAACTAAAGGGCAATTATCACGTAAGAATATTCTTGCTTACACATATACATCCATGTAGTATTGCATTCTAAAACAAATAGTTTAAATAAAGCTAATTACTGTTTAAGTTGTTAAAGAAAGAACCTGAGAAAGACATGGAATTTTTGCTTATGTTTCCAAAAGTTCATAACATTTGGAATTCCATTAACTACACTATGAGCATGGGAAAATACAAATGTGAAATTATAGAGAACCCAATGGCATTTTGTTAAATTTGAGAACTGAAATTCAACTTCAAATGAGCAAAATCCATTGAAGGCAAGAAGCAAAAGCTCTCTTCCCTGTTTCCTGACATCTACCATGACTTTGCCTATTATCTGATGAAATGACCTAGAAGCAATCTGTGCATGGTAGAGAGATGAGGGGTTGTCAAACAATATTGCAGTTAACCCTCAAACTAACCCTTTTAGAAAGTAATCTTGAAGGTTTAAAGAAAAGCCAGGGTACTAGCCTGACATTGATAATTGAACAACTCACTTAGTAGAACAAGAAAATGTCAACCACATAAAAACAATCCCTCCCTGGGGAAATAAAGGTCTCCAAGGAGAACAAAGTGCAGTGCTCTGAGGCAAGCTCTAGGGAGGTATGAGGTCAAGTCATCTGCACCCAACATAAGTTTTCTTCCCTATTCTTTAGATCATATGCATGACTGCACATGAAAGATATCCTCTCACTAGTTTCTAAGATGTTATGGTGAAGGGTGATGGCCTGGGAAAAGGTAGCAGTGAAGATTAGCCAATCCCTCAAGAAGGCAAATCATTGACAAGAGGAAACCACATCAGTAAGAGCCTCACCTGCACAAAGGTTGAGTTTGGGCTCCTTGTTAACATCAGCTTTATTGTAGGACCCATTTGTGGGCCTGCTGCGGTGAGGTGCATTCAATGGGACAGTCCTGACAGCATCTCTTTGAACATGGATAAAGGATGCATTCTTAGCATTTCGGTTTTTATTATTATGATGGTAATTCATTTTATGTTTGGGATTTGTGGCCTGCACTGTTGTAAAACAAAGGAAGCGGTGGAAGTGAGGGATAAAATAAGCTTGTTTTATATCTATAAATAATACACCATACTTTCAGTATTTGATAGCACAATAGAAGACAGTGTAAAGTAAAAGAATTAAGTTTAGGGGAGTTGGGTAAACATCTAAAGAAACATTTATGTTAGATGACAGTGACTTATTTTCCAGATAGAAAATATTTTAATTTTAATCTACTTAAGCTACAGTTCAGACATATCAAATACTCAGAAACTTTACCTCTCCACATTCCAGAGTCAGGAAAGTTTTTTGGTTCATCATAAATCCATTTTCTTTTCTTTACACCTTTAAAATGAGGCTTTCTCACTGGCTGGATGTCATTCACTTTGAAAATATACAAATTTTTAGTTTTTAAGAAATGCTTTCATCTGAAAATTACTGTAGGTGATAATTACATATCCCTGCATTCACACATCAAGCAAGAGAAAATAAGTAAATAAATGCACCACCCTAAGATTTTACTCTTTAGAACAAAGAATAATTCATTTTTAAGTGTCAAAAAAAATCTATCTTCTAAATACATTGATAAGAAAACTTTTCAATAAGTTTTTTCCTAAAAAAAAATCAAAGATGCTTTTTCCAAAGGAAGGTGGATTATTTTAAAAGAATATGAAATTGTATTTCAAATACAATTAAATCTCATTATAATGGCATTTTAAACTAACTTTGTAATTGTTATTTTCAACATCAATCTTTTTGTAAGTTTTTGTCTAAAACTACTTTTTAATAAGTCAGGTTAATGTAAAATTCTTTTAGTGAATTTTGCTTTATCTTTTTAAGATCCTAAAAAGTTGTGTGTGCTGAATATTTGATCAAATAAGACTGGATAATCAGAATTTGTTAAGTACTAAAATCATACATTTTTCACTTTTTACTTGCATATATTTACATCAAAATTTCTATATGCATTCTTAATTTGCTAAGAATTTTAAGGGACTTTCAGAGAATCTTAAGACAATTTTGTAGAAACGGGCATTCTGTTGTTCACAAGTGACTACTGCACAAAGAAAATGAGTATCAGCCAACAGATTACACTAGCCCTCTGTAATGGATGAATTCATTCTGCCTGAATCAATCTATCTTTGCACTAGCTCTCACCCTCAGTTTAATCTTTAAACTCTCAATGAAGCTCTGACTCACTGCCTTTTCCCCAAATATCAGGTCCTACCCCCAACTCCCGAGCATCCAGAGCTGAGATTTGGAAATAAAGGTTTTAACAATTTCCACTTCACTGAACATCCAGGGGCAAAGCCATCATGGTTCCCCTTCAGGGCCTAGCTGAATATCCTGCTCATTCAATTAATGAAATAAGGAACAGGAGGAAGGAGAGCAGGAATCAGGAAAATCTACAAGTCCTAATTTTATCAAGAGAAGTAACTCAAAGTACTCGATATCAAGAAGCCAAATTAAGAAAAACAAACTCAAAACATAATAAAAAGCGAGTTGGAATTTAAAATGTTATTCTTAAGAATCTTCTGAGAAGGCAGTATGTTATTATTTTAATACCTAAAATAATTAGTAGATATAATTTAAGAGAGTTATCAAGAGCTAGCAAAGAACACTGTGTCTGTAATCTTTACTCGTGAATAATTTTCAGATAATCCTTTTTACTTTCCTTTTTAAAATGCTGTTTCAAATAAGCAAAACAAGTCCATGATAATATAAATATATTTAAGGTCCAAAAGTGATAGAGCAAAGGTCTCACTTGAAGAGGGGTCCTCTCTGCACTTCATACTGATATTTTCAGTAGCATTTAATACATGCGTTGTAGGTACTAGTCGGGGAGTTAGAGAACGCTTTGAATGAGGACTGTCCTTGTTATCTTCTAAAGCAAATTAAGAAAATAAAATATCAGTATTAGTAAAAGAAACATCTATTTCAGTTGGCATTTCACTTATCAACTATTATACAAAGGGCACATCACATATATATGTATTCATATATATGTAATTAAAATGCATATCCCAGGTATTTTAATTTTTTAGAGTGCATTATTAAAATTGCCTAATTGCCACACTGCCCCTGAGATACCATTGATAAAAATATAGTGCTATAGCCATTATTTTCAATGCATAAGTTATATCAGTTGTGGAGCTATTTTAATATCTCCATGCAAAAGAATTAAAAGGTTATTAATTTATACAAAGCAGGCCCATTTAAACAGAATTTTTGAAGATAGTTTGCGTGTAACAACTTTCTCTTCTATGCTTAGGAGCAGAATTATCCAGCAAGCTTTCCACATTGATGACGATGCTCTAAGTCTGTGCTGTGTGATATGCTAGCCTTAATCACACAAGGCTATTGAGAACTTGGAATGTTGTTGATGTGCCTGAAAAGCTGAATTTTTAACTTTATGATTTATTAATTTTAATTAAATTTAAATAGCCATGTTCTGCGGATTAGTACCATATTAGGATAGATTTTTAAGAGATCCTTTGATGGATTAGGCAAAACTTTTCCATCTCTAAGTAAGAGAAATTTACATATGATTTTCCATTAAAATAGTTTGACACAAATGCCTTTTCCCATGCTTGAGGTTATTTAATGTTGAGGAAAATCGTGAATAAGATGGGTTTATATTTTGACGCACAGAACGTGAAGTCCGCTGTTAGAGGAGGACTGGTACTTTGAATCTGCGACTGAGAGAGAGAGAAGTGCCCAGTAGAGAAGTACCAGCAAGAGGGTCTAGGCTCAGTGGGGCAGCATAACAGTATGAAAGGCATACTTTATTGTATTTCTTGATTATTCACAGGCTATAGTTAGTAATGATTATAAAGTGGGAAGCCATCATGAGAATAATACTATTCACAAATAATTTGTTCACAAATAATTTTTTCTAACAAAATTTTGTCTTTCTGATGTAAGCTGGGAAAATAACTAAAAATGACTTGATATTACCATTTAAGAGAGCCAATAACTTTAAAACTAGTGAAAGTCTAAGAAATTATGTAGTCCTATAGACTAATTTTTCAGAGTAGGAAACTAAGATTAAAAAATTAAAGTCCTATGGTTAAACAATTAATTAGAGTACCAGGACCAGAACCTTGGGGCTCCTGACTCCTGCTCAGGATGTATTTTGATTTATTACCTTCCTTCTTATATTGGTTTCTACCACAATCAAGCTTTATGCTTAATTTATCTATACCAATTGCAAATGGATTGTTACTACAGAATGATCATTACCTTTAGTATTTGAACATTTGGACATGGTGATTTCTTTCTCTTTAGTTAAAGCTTCATTTTCATCCACTCCAAGAAATATGATCCTCTGTGGAACGTAACAGTCACCTCCTATGACAAAACCTTACTGTCAGTAGCAACCATGGCAAAAAATGGTACAAAATGCCTTTCAATACAGTAATATCCTCTACAATATCTCTTCTGCCCACTTTTATTTAGCTACCATTGGAAATATAAGAAATGCTTACGTTAATGCATGTGTATTAATATATACATATATATTTGAATAACCAGTATGTGAGCTTACATATATATAATTGCAAAGAAATTCACATATTCAATTGACTGTCCTTTAACTTACAACAATCTTTATCTCTAGCCTTTAGAGATACTCAGAATAAATTTATCTTCCAAATGAAATCTTCAGATATATGACAGCAATTTTCATGTTCCTGAAAGTTCTTCTGTTTTTTCAGGATTTATACCTGCAGTTGCTTTGAACACTACCTACATAATTTCTAGATCCTTCACCATAGGAGTTACCCTTTCCTAAAATAAAACCCTTGTTTGAAAGCACAGTTGAGGATATAGCTTAGTGACTGAGTGTTTGCTTAACATGCACAAGGCCCTGAGTTTGAATCACAGCACCACAAAAAAAAACAACAAACACCCAATTGTGGGTTAACCTATGCAAAAACAAGTGGAACTAAAATGATAGCAGTTTACATGAAGAATTTTTCTATGTGTCAGAATGAGCACTTTAAATGACTCATAGTATTTATCTTCTTATAATTTTCCTAATAATTCAATGTGAGTTTAACTATTTTGTAGTGAAAATATATTACTGAATCATTTTGAAACGTAGCCAGAAAAGGATTTCTAAACCTACCCCTCACAAACTACATGTCAGAATTTTCACCACTTGAAGAAAAGCCACCATTATGTCTTGAACCTAAATTTAAAGGTTTATGTTTATCACTGTTTGTACATCTAGTAAGATTTGGCTCATTGTTCCAGTTTATTAACTTCCAGCATCTGTAAATTTTATAACTATGTCTCCATTTACCTAGTCATTAAGTACATTTAAACATTCAATCATTTTTGTTCTTTAAGTCTTTAATGAATGCACACTATGTGCCAGACATTCCAGAGCAGAGATTTATCTACAGTGTCTGATTATACTCAGTTCCTGGTCTCATGAAGCTTACACAAAGCCAATGACAAAAATTTCAAAGAGACTCACTTTCCCGTCAAAACAGTTATAAAATACCCCAAATAAACTGGCTGGAAAACAACCCAAGGCACAGGACCACAATGTCCATATTCACAGACACTCTGAATTTTTCCCCCACTCACAACAACCTTTTTCATGATAGCATTTCTAATTCATCATGCAAGGAAACATATGCCAAGCAGAAATCACAAACAACTAGGCAAAAAGAAAAACAATCTAAACTTTGGGCCTCTATGAATGGTCTGAACCTTAGAGGGCAATGTGAACTAAGAAGTTCCCTGAAATATGCAAAAAACTAACTTGTTCCCTGACTCCACACTTGACATGTACCAAATGGGACTCCAAGAAACCAATGAAAGCAGCATCTGGGAAGCTAAAAGAAAAGAACTGTTCAGAGATTTCAGCAGCTATGTACTACACATCAGAGATAAAATCTTGAGTCCAAGTCTCCTCAGATTAGAGAGATCTTAGCAAATAGCCCAGGTTCACAGTTGAAAACCCAGAAAAGCAATGTTTTAGGAGCAAGGGGCTTATCACTGGAATAATTAAGGGCAAATAATACATCATCTTCTAAATCACTTCTAATAAAACCTGAAATCAATCCTTGATAGAATCAAAGTGGCCTTCTGTAGTCTAGGTACTGCCAAAAACAATGTTTACCTGTGGGAAAACAACCTCAATGACATATTACATTATTTTTTTTTTTCAAGTACATTATTTGTAAATGAGTTTATTATATATCCATACAATGGAATATTATGAAACTGTAGAAAATGAGGACATATTCTGTAATTACAGAAATGAAAGACCACCTACATATATCATCAAAGGAAAACAGATTATAAATAATATGTATAATATACTATATTTGAGAAAGTAAGGAAATAAGAGCATATATTTGTATTTGCTTATTTTTTTAAATAAAAATACTCTGGAAGGTTAAAAGTAAATAAACAAACAAACAACAAAAATCTACATATCACAGTCTGGAGACTAGAAGGCCAAGATCAGGGCGCCAGCATGGCTAGGTTCTGGTGAGGCCTGGTGGGTTGTAGACGGCTGACTTCCTGCTTGAAACTCAGGGAAGCCCAAAGCTAATTTGAGTTGAGTTGAGATTTCTGCATATATTAAGTCTAAAACATGAGGCCATGGAAATTCAGAGAAAGAGACGGCTTTGGAGGTCTTCTGGTTAATGGATGGATAAGAACACCAATCTGGAAAGGTTTCTGTCTCAAAACTTAATATCAAGTTCTTAGGCACACACCCACTCCCTCTCCTCTTAATCTCTTCTCCTTCTGCCTTCTTCAACTTAGAAATCCTATACATATTTGAAAATGTAGCGGTCAAAAGACACCTTAAGAAAGGCTAATGGTCTGGACAGCACAATTATATTTGCAAACATTATCTCCAATTACAAAACAAAAGACAATTAGGAAAACAAATTTTCATAGTGTTTCTGTTTCATATGTAAAGATATTCCCTTATTTTTCCTGAGGTTCTTATAGGAAGAGATTAAAAAATACTTTGGTATGTTTCAATGGTGGTGGGTTAAGTTGAGTTTTTAAATTTCTGTCCCTCAAAACTTCGGTTCCTCAAACCCATTCATCTAACCCTAAGGTCAAATGTCACCTACTGTATTTACTTTTTGCCTCTGTGTACTCAAAGAAAAGTTGTAGACAATGAAGTTTTAGGCACGTAGCTCTTCTGCACCTGGAATACTTGGACATGGATACGTTGGTTTGCAAGTCCTTTGGGAAATATTTCAAATTATTGTGAGTCAAATTACATAATTGGCCTTCTGAAAATATGAGCCACAAAGCATCCCCTGGGATTTAGGCCTACCATCATTGACAATAAACCAAGGAAAGTAAACACTCCCTTTTTAATTTTACTAATTCACAGTCTATCCTTCTCTGAAGAAAAAGTAAAAATAACAACTCCTTATAAGAAAACAAGCTATTTGCAACAACAAAAACAAGTGCTACTGTATTAATTATAATAGTGAAGCTTGGAAGCTCTCTTAATATCTGTTAATAGAACAATGATTAAGTAAATCATGGCATATGACCTGCATAAGATGTTGTGGAAAGATAAAAAGTAGCAGCAATATGGAAAAGCTTATTTAATAATTATGCACTTAGTGTCTACCATGTCGTGGGACTTTCCTGGGCAGTAGAAATAAAGGAATACTTCACATAGCTTGCAGTGCAGTAGAGAAATCAGATCTGAATGCATGTTTCAGGAAAAAAGGACTGTGAGGACAAAGGCCTAGAATGTGTTCTGGGAGTGCCAAGCCACTCGGATGAGTGGGGTGACAGGGGTGGGAGGGAAATGATGCTGCAGAGGCAGACAGGGGCAAGATACAAGGGGTCTTGGGATTTATTCTATAGATAGAGGTGCCACTGGGAACTTTTGCAGGATAAAATACACAGTGACTACAGTATATGTATATAGTAATGCTTTACTTTATTCATTGAATACATTCGTAGTCATGTGTTCATTAGTTCAGTTCATTCATTTGTTCATTCTTTAATTCAAAGATCACTTATTGAATGTGTACTCACTGTGACTGTCACAGGTGCAATAAAGATAAATAGAACTCTACCTCCAGTGGGTAACAGTGGTTGGGACATTCTTCTAAGAAAATAGCTATTACATTATTTTTTAATTGAAATGTTCAGCGTCTAACTAAAACTTAGAAGGCCTACCAAGAAATAGCTCAATTGATGCTTGGGCTGGTGACACATGCCTTAAAACCCAGAACATGGAAGGCTGAGGCAGGAGAATCATAAATTCAAGGCCATTATAGGATAAAAAGTTGGATCATTTAAAAAAAAAAGGTTAAAAAAAAAGAGAACAATCAACAACAAATGTTGGTAAGGATGCAGCGGAAAAGGAACCCTCTTATGCTGCTGGTGGGAATGTGAGCTAGTACAACAAATTTGGAAAACAATATGGAGGCTTCTCAAAAAACTGAACCTAGATCTGCCATATGATCCAGCAATACCACTCCCAGGGATATACCCGAAGGAATGCGACTCAGATTACAAAGGCACCTGCACACCCATGTTTATTGCAGCGTTGTTCACAATAGCCAAGTTATGGAAACAGTCAAGATGCCCCACTACAGATGAATGGATTAAGAAAATGTGGTATTTATACACAATGAAATTTTACTCAGCCACAAAGAAGAATGAAATTTTGTCATTCACAAGTAAATGGATGGAATGGAGAATATCCTCTTTTTTTAATTTATTCATTTATTCACATGTGCATTCATTGTTCGGGTCCTTCCTCCCGCCTCGCCCTCCCGCCCCCAGCCTCTTACCCCAAACCCCCCTCGCTTCCAAGCAGAACCAGTTCTGCCCTTATCTCTAATTTTGTTGAAGAGAAGACATAAGCATAATAAGAAAGACAAAGCGTTTTTGCTAGTTGAGTTAAAGATAGCTATACAGAGAGATTCCTAGTATTGCTTCCATGTACAAATGTGTTACAACTCAAGTTGGTTCATCTCTAACTGTTCTTGACACTGGTTCCTGATCCCCTGCTCATGATAACCTGTCCTTTAAGGTTTCTGTATGAGTTCCTATGGAGTGGGGACATCAAACGCTTTCATGCTTTGGGTTTTCTACCTATTCCTATATCTCCCATATGTGCTCTCCCCTTGTCATGTGATCCAAGTCCAACCACATTGCTGCATTTGCCTTATATCTAAAGTCCACATATGACGGAGAACACACGATTTTTGGTCTTCTGAGCCTGGCTGACCTCGCTCAGAATGATGTTGTCCAGTTCCATCCATTTACCTGCAAATGATAAGAGTTCATTCTTCTTCATGGCTGAGTAAAATTCCATTATGTATAAATACATTTTCTTG